AAAATTAGTTGCCACTTGTGTCTAACGTCAGTTGCCACCTATCGTTGCTGTTAACTGCCACCATGTTAACTTGTTGCTTGCCATCCTATTGTAGTGGTTGTTGCCATCGAATCGAAAGGATAGCTGGCACCCAGATTTTAGAAAAGAGAGTGGATGTGCATGTCCTACTTGCCATGATGTGTTGATTGCCTGCACATGAAAATGTGATAAGACTGCCGTGTTATCTTCTACGTGCAAACAGTAGAAGAATACATTTTTTGCGGATTGTTGATGCGTTCTTGTCCATGCAGTGATTGAGAACACATTGGCAGAAACAAAACGCGGAAAGAATGAATCACGAAGATGGCACTGATCCTTGGGTTTCTCAAAGGCGAGAAACACCCCCTTGGGATGCAGCAGAGTACAGTCAACTCATTTCTGCAGGGCCGTTGCTGCCACTACTAGAGCAGTACGCAGGCATTGGTATGATGCATGGATAACAAAGAAAAGAACATTTGCCATGTTCGCGACGATGAAGATGACATTCTACTTATGTCCTACAATGTCATTTTTCGCAGGTTCTTATGACCGAAACACACTCAGGGGGGCACCATGGCAAGTTCAGTCACAGGGTGCTAACACTGACAAATGTACGGGCAACCAACTTCAACTAGCTAATGTGGCAAATCAAGGTAACACATACGAAAAAAGAAACATACTGGTGTGGACATTAAAAATAAACTTGCAAAGGATGGCAAAAGACTCACGAGTTATGTCGGAAAAAATGCAGAACCTTCATGCAGCACGTGGCATCAGGCGGCACCCATGTACCTGCCATCGACATCATATACAGGTGAGTCCATAAAAAGTGAAGTTGCGGATGGTGAATTAGCAGAATGAACATAGTTGACAACTACAGTTGCCATGACTGAACAATTGCTTTGCCATCCTTGAACAACTGCAGTTGCCATCCCTGGACAACTATAGTTGCCATCCCTGGACAACTGCAGTTGCCATACCTGGACAACTGCAGTTGCCATACCTGGACAACTGCAGTTGCCATGTATGATCAAAATGTGATTGCAATGTATAAACAACCGTGGATGGCAAGTGTGAACAAATCTCTGTGGCATGGTTGGACCACTGCATGTTCCATGTTGAAGAAACTACAGTTGCCATGCATTGACCAACTACTACCATGATTACAGGTTATTTCGGTGGTGCTACATCGGCAAACGTCTCATGGCAAACTTCACAGATTGCAGATAGAGCACGTCAAATTGGTGTGACAGACCACACAAGATGGGCACATGCGGCACAACAAGGTAAGAAAATTTGAACCACAAAACAACACTGCATTTGTTTTTGTGGGAATAGCATGTGAGGAAAAGAAGATTTGTAACAGTGATGGTGGAAAAAATCAAACAGAAAATGCTAACAAGTGGTCATGTGCAATGAGTCATATATTGTCTTCGGGATTTGCCAATTGCTAAAAGCATGTGTGCAACACTAATGATTGATCGCATTTGCCTAGTGAGCTCAAGCCAAGAATACAAAGTTTTGATGCTAGAATATACTGGTTGCCATGTATTGGCAGCAGTATTTGCCATGTATGTAGGACTGCAGCTGCCATGGATATAGAATCCAAGTTTTGGTACTGAAAGGAGCTAGTTGCCATGTTTGTTGGACTATAGCTGCCATGACTGGAGAACTACAGTTGCCATGCATGTCCATATGCAGACTCACAGCTTGCTGTTTGAATGAAGTCATGCCAAATCACTTGCAGTTGATGTACTCCGTTATGATAAACATGTCATTCAAGCAAAATCTTACGCTCGTACCTGTTTTTTAATTACAGGACCTTCAACTACAATCAACAGCAGCGCGAGGACATCTACTGCGGGGAGCTCTGAGCGCATGGAAGACGCATTCCACCAGACAGCCAACAATCATGCCGCAAACAATGCCGAGTCAGAGTCGGAAATGGCAATCATTCCAGCAATGCCGACAAGCACACCTTTGAACACAAGCACTGGCAACACTCAAGTAGATGAAACTGCCGCCGATACTAAAGTGAATGATGAAACTGATGACGAAGCACAAGGGGATGAAGATGGTGGGCAATCAGAGATCATGATACCTCAGCCACCGTACGTTGGGCAGAGATTTGATTCGTTCGTAGAAGCAAAAGAATTCTACCAAACATATGCAAAGTTCCATGGGTTTGCGGTCAACACCGAATACCATAGGAAAATTAAGAAAACTAATGAGTACAGCAGAGGTGAGATGAGGTGCTACAAGGCACGAAGGAACAAGAAGGGGAAAGGTGTTGCGCCTGTCGTTCCGGAACGAAAGAGAGGTATCATTCTCAAGACGGAATGCCCTGTCTGGTGTAAGCTAAACGTAGATGGAGCACAGTGGGTGGTCACTAAATATTTTGACGAGCACAACCACAAACTCATAAAGAAGTTCGACTTGGTAAAATTTCTGACCGCACACATAGGATTCACCCCCCTCGAGAAGAAATTCATAAAGCTGTTACATGATTGTAACGTCGGTCCATCAAGAATGGTCGAGATACTATCACTCATCCACAACAAAAGAGGGACTCTGAGTAGCATGCCCTACATACCAGCTGACATGACAAACCTAAAGGCAAAGTACCATAGAGAGAGCAAGTTGGCTGACATAGAGGCCATAATGGCCTACTTCGATGAGAAAGCGAAGGAAGATCCAGATTTCCTCTACAGGATAAGATTAGACGATGAGGACCGTGTCAGGAACATGTATTGGGTGGATGGTGCTGCAAGAAGAGCCTACAAACATTTTCGAGATTGCATTTCATTCGACACGACATATCTCACTAATATGTACAAGATGCCATGCGCTTCATTCATAGGAATAAATAACCACAATCAGTCGTTGCAGTTCGGATGCGGGCTCGTTCGGAATGAAGACACGGATGGGTACACTTGGCTGTTCAAGACCTTCTTGGAGTGCATGGATGGACTTGCTCCGATGAACAGAATAACAGACCAGGATTTTAGCATGCATGTAGGCATAGAGGAGGTCTTTCCGTTGGCAGTGCACAGGCACTGCAGGTGGCACATTATAAATAAGGCTGAGGAGACGCTAGGACCGTTCTTTGCTGACTGTCCAGAGCTGCACAAGGCATTAGAGCTGTGCGTGGACCACAGCTTGATGGTGGAGGAGTTTGAAAGGAGCTGGATGGCCATGATTGAAACATATCAAGTCCAAGACAACGAGACTCTTGCTAGCCTGTGGGAGAAGCGAATGTACTGGGTGCCGGCCTACTTCATGCAGTGCTTCTTCCCGTTTCTGCAGAC